ATATATATATATATATAGAGGCCAAAGTCTTTTTATGTAACATAATTACTTCAAACATCTCAAGTGTTTGAACTTATACTTGCATTTCCCACATAAAAGCTAATGTTTAAATTTATATAATCCATGACCTTAGATTGTCACAGAACTTGTTAACATTCAAGGACAAAAGATAATTTGACCCACCTACCTTAACTTGAGAGCGAAGGGATACAACTTGTTCGTTAACTCCATCTTTAGCTTTTTTGGCCTCTTTCAGTGCATCCTGTCAATGATGTACAAGTAAATCAATGGTAAGAAGTAAATATATATATATATATATATATATATATATATATTATCAACTGTCTGAAGGCCAGTAACTTCAAGAACATAAAAAAAAAAAAAAATCATTCAACAGATATAGCAACCTCTCTTTGGCGCAATGCAGCTTCCTTCCTAAAAACACATACACATTGAAATTGCATAGATGAGCGTTGTGGAGAAGGCAGCAATAAAGAGAATACAATGACACTAATGCATTTGATAGAACCTGCTTAACAATTTCGCTTCCAAAGATATTCCTTCACCAAGAGCAGCCACCTAAATGATACATTGAAAGATTAAGAACGATAACTACCAAGACCATAATAACTCAAGAAAAAACTAATAGCTAGTGAAGTGAATAAAAGGAGGGGCTCAGATTTAAATACCACCAACTAGGGATATGAGTGTCATAACTCTTGAAGTTCAAAATAGTGAAAACGATCAGATTAGAGCATATTTATTATTTCAGTGGGAATGGGAAGTATGTAACCTTTTAGATCCCAATATATGAATATGACAGACACAAAATAAGAAGAATATGGGTGAGCACCTGCTTCTCAAGCTCCTTAACCCTCATCTCTGCATCCTGACAACTTTCTTCAGCAAACCTGAGCTGCACAATATAAATTGAACAATGAAGATCAGATATATAAACAAAGAATACCACAATTAGAACCCACCTTCTCAAGGACATTGTCATTCTCTTCTTGTAGCATATCAAGCTGCATGAAATAGCACAAGTTAACGAATTGTACATCGCTGAAGCTGAAACTGAAACTGAAACAAGAAAAGTTGGTTACAACACAACATACTTCATCACGAAGTGCAGAAGCTTCTCGCCTGTCTCCTGCATTTTTCAAGTTAATTTCTCCTATTTCCAACTGAAATCTGCAATTCAACAAACAAATCATGGGCTAGATTAGCAATCATGACAGACTTGGAGTTGAGTTGCTTCTGTTTTACCTTTTGTCTTTTTGTTTGTTGGTTGGAGGATCAATAGGAGGTATAGCAATCGGGGTCCTCAAAGATGTTTTGCTTGATGGCAGCATGCTATTATTTGTTTTTGATGGCCTTCCAGTCAATGTTATTGCCATTGGTGCCTGGCTTTCCTCAACAATGCTCCTACCTACTAGCTAACCAAAACAATGCAAACCTAGCATTTAGCTTGCTTGGCTATTTATAACGAAAATTTACAAAAACTAAAACTATAATAAGCAGCTTATCCATGGATGGAAGTGAAGAGGAAAACGTGATTTTACCATTCAACTGATCATCAATATAGAAACAACGGAAACTCCTCAACCTCAATCCCACATGATTTCCATCCAGACCACCACCGGAAAGGTTTTTGTCATAAAGATACATAATGTCACATCAGATTAAACCTTTGGGTTGAAACCATGAATGTTGCAACTTGCAACTTAATAGCAGTTAGGATATGTCCTTGTCCATCCTCTTAAATATTCACTCATTACTCTAAAACAGTTAGAAATCACTATTCTTTATTTGAGGTAGCACGGCCTCTAGGCAAAGTTTATAATATCTTTATCCTAAAACTGTCTCTACAACGGTCTTAAGAGTACAATCTCAACCCCGTTACTATCTCTATCTTATACATGGTGTTACCCATCAAAATTCAAAACTGGTGGATAAAAACATAAGACCACTAAATCCAAGTTAGGTTAGCATATCACTAAACGATTCTATGTGGTTTCAGGTCAACGTCTTTGGTAGTAGCTCGCTCTGACCAAACAAGTCTCTCCTTAGTCCTTGTATGCTTGTTGAGTTTCCACACGACTTGGTAAAAACAACATTTATGGTCCATTTCCTATGAGTTGTCTCACGTGGTTGCATTGCATCTTGACACAAATATGTCACAACTTCTAAACCCAACGTATCATACCACTTTAACTCCAGCAAAGATGGAAGGCATGACATCTAAAGGCCTTTGTTGCATTTGTGATAAAAATATACTTTTGGCAATCGTTGTAGGGATGGCAGGATGAAAACACAAAGGAAAGTAAAGAAGAGGTTTAACCAACTGAATTTGCACACTTATCTTTGCATGCCTTAACTGAAAAAGGTAATTATCACTAGGCATGCCAGGAAAAGGGGACTACAGACATTAGTATTAACCATGAATTCATGGATGTTGACTTGGCTAAGAAACTTGGGTGCAAAATATCAAAAAAGGGTCCTATATCAATAGGAGTAATAAATGGGGACAGGGTAATATGCGATACTATGACAGAAGGATTCCAATGGAGGATGCAAGAATGCAACACTTTTCAACTGATGTGTTTCTCATTCCCTTAAGGTAATGAGATATAATATTGGATGATCCATGGTAAATTAAATTGAGGAAGGTCCTATTTAATTTTTTAAATCACACCATTGAGTTTCAAATGCAAGGCAGAACTTTAGTATTAAGGGATGTTGGTAATCAAAAGATGAAGACAATAAACTAGTGAACAAGGCAAAATGTGTGTGTGTGTGTGTGTGTGTATATATATATATATATATATATATAGGTTGTGAATGAAATTACAATTCTTCTCCTGAATATCTCTTTATCTCCATTTCTCGATTATGTTTTACTCATCCTAATCATCCTCATTAGCTATTCTTCTCATCAACATTTCTGATGATTGTGGTATTGGTGATCGTTGAGATTATTCATGTATCCTTAGCAACTAATTTTGCTTTAAAGACAAATATTGATGCAAATGGGTTAAAGTTTTTTTATGCATGCCTACTTGGATCCTACGGCTCACACACGCCCTTACAAGTTCTAATAACTTCTAAGTAAATACTTCTCGGTATTAAATGCTTACTTCTAAAATTGAGAATCTCTTCGTAATGTAGCCTCCTGAAAGGTGTTTACGTCTCCATTCATATTTTGTTGTAAATATGACCCCTCTCGTCACTTTCTTTAGTGTCCCTTCAATCGGGTACGACAAGAAATCCTCTTTCCTCTCTAGCTCTCGTACTTTGTCATGGTGCGTCGATCTTCCTTGAGGTTCCCGAGTTCTCATGTGATTATACTTAAGTATTAGGAGGTATTCTGAAAACCTATCTTAAAGAATTTCACAACTCTCGATTCAACAATTAGACATTATTCTTTATGTTGTATTCCGTATTGTTCACATATCCAACAAATATGAATTTTAATAGCTTTGCCTCCCAACTTAGAGTAGGGATCTATCTTTTTATTACCAAACTACTTGTTCGGGAATAAATAGTGATATGCGTTCGTGTTTGATACCATTATCAAGCACAATGTCTTATTTTCTCTAAGCAACATGCATTTTGCGCTTCTCTCAGTTCAGGTTGTTGACGTGTTGGCCTCTTAAAGTCCCCCTTCTTTGGTCCTAAATTCCTTTTAATTAGATCATTATGGATGCCCTATTATAGCTAAAACTTTGTGCCAGAACGTGACCGGACCTACCCCTCTTTATGCTTATTGTTAGCCTTTTCTTCAATTTGAAGATGCTTCAAATCATCTAAGATGTAATCCTCGTACTTTTTATCACTTTTTGGGAAAAATCCTTCAACGAGTGTGAGTTATGCAATAATGGAAACCACCCAGAAGATTTCTTGAAGAGATGTGGAAAGTGCTTTCAATTTGTTAATACCTATACTTAGACATAAAAAAGTCTTAGTACTTAGACACTCGGATACGTTGTTGAGGCATAAGGTCATTCAGCAGCACTAATGCCTCATCCTTCTTTTGAATTCTTTGTTTTTTAATTACCGCAAGAAATTGTTGGTATAGTCAAGCATCAGTGACAACATGGGTTCCAACACGTAGAATATATTCAAGACCACCAATAAGAACTTCACCTTATCGGCCCACCTCGTATGATTTGTATCCATCAAACATGTCCAACTTAACGAAGTCTTGATTCATGATGCGAAAGTAGGTGAAAGAAGCCCCGCCTCGTAAAATTGTATCCATCAAACCTGTCATACTTGACAAAGTCTTGATTCATGATGCAAAAGTTGGTGGAAGACCAACTAATTATTTATCGAAGTTGAACTTTGGTGTTGTTAGATTTGAGATAGATTATGATTCTACGCTACCAAATAAATAAGAACAAAGGGTAGAAGTGGAATGTCTTTTTTACAAAGATAGAAAAGTAAGTATAATACATAATAAAACTTCTACGTTGATTCTTGATATCAAAAGTAGCAAAAGACCGCAAAGATTGTAATCTTGACCTTAATGTTTTAACGACACTCGATATGTTGTGAGTTCTCCGCAAAGGGAGATGCAGAAAAAGGGAAACAAAAATATGTGTTAACAAGCAACACAAGGCTGACAATGAGCAACGTAAAAAAAA